CTTTTTATAATGTACTTATATAGAAAACCGTAGAATGTGTCGCATAAAGTGACTTTGAATGTAACGTAGCGTGGCGTTAGGAGGGTGTGAGGTAAGCGGATTTCCGCTTTTAAAGTAGGTTTGCTCTTGTATATGTATATTTATATGTATATATATATATATATATATATATATATATATATATATATATATATATATATATATATATATATACAGAAACGCCAAGAAGAGAGTATGTAAGTGAAAAAACCGCAGCATTTTAGTGAAGCAGGTGGATGTCTCGTTTGAGGTCGCGTGAGTTGTAGCACGTCCACAATTCGACCTCTTTCCTTTCCATGTTTCAAACCTCTATTTTCTCACTCTCTCTCTCTCTTTCCCTTACGTCGTTCTCTTGCGGTGAATCTGATCCCAAGGATGAGGATCAAGAAGTGAGTAAAATAGGGATCATCTAATAATCCTTTTTGTGGAAATTTTACTCACTTCTGCAAGACCTAAATAGTCTGCACTCGAAAAAAGGATATTCTTCATTTTGGAATTTAATTTTTCTTTTTCTTCTAACAATAGTATTAATATTAATTAGTAAATAACAATCTTCTATTATATTAAGTTAACAAATTTCGAACAACGACACCGACCCCGTGATCTCGACACCGTCCTTGAAAAATCTATTTTCAAATAAATCAAAATACTTTGCATATATGCTTTTAGAAAATCTTACAAACTATTTTTATGTAACATCTTTTTCCAAATTTACCCCGAAAATGGGTTATTTTTCAATTTTAACCCGAAAAAGGGTTATTTTGCAATTTTACCCCGAAAAAGGGTTATTTTGCAATTTTTTAAGAATTTTTTGATTTTTTCAATTTTTTATTATTATTTTTTATTATTTATTGTTGTTTTTTCAATTTTTAGTTAGTAACCTATAATAATGTGTCTAATTTTAAGTGTCATTAAAATCAAATGTTTTTAACTTAATAATTTTAACATTTCTTAATTTAAAACGAAACATCTTCTATTATATTAAATTAACAAATTTCGAAAAACGACACCGACCCCGTGACCTCGACACCGTCCTTGAAAAATCTATTTTCAATTATTTTCAAATAAATCAAAATACTTTGCATACATGCTTTTAGAAAATCTTACAAACTATTTTTATGTAACATCTTTTTTCAATTTTAAGATAAATTTTATACAATATTAATAAGATATCAATTTAAAACATAAATTATGTATATAATATACATAAACTACAATAAGTAAACAACAATAAGTACAATTTTAACCGAGCGAGCGTTAGCGAGCGAGGAATACATCGCTAGTATTAATTAATACTAAATACTAAATATTAATAAGGTTCCGAACCAAGTACGGAACCCTAATAAAAAAAAAATTTATTGTTATTTTACCTTAAATAAATTTTGAAATATTTTTTTGCTCGTATTTTTATAAAATTCATGTATAGCTATTTATCATATATGTTGAAACCAGAAGTTGATCTTTTTATGAGGATCATATGGGACAGGATGTGACAACTTTCGTCAAAGGGAATTTTTATGTCAGAGAAGGGAAACTTTGATGGATCGTGATATCATATATATTTTTTTTCTGTTAACTCTTTTATATCCTCCTTGATGTTTACCAAGTGTGTATCTCAGTATTCCATTATTTTTAATTGACGTAAAGATTTTAGAAAAAAATAGATTTTAATTATTAAACGTTACAATATTTAGAAATAATTAACGATAAATTTCTGTAAGAAATTTTCAATTTCGAGTGTAATAAAGATAATAGAAAATACGATTTCGTTAAGTAAATAATAAAAGTCTGATAATCTAAAGCAAAAATCGTTCATATAAGTTAAATGACGTTTTAAGCTTGAACAATTCAAGTTGAGTTGAGAATTTCAAAGAATATTGGTTTTAGTCTTTAAATTTCTAGATATATATATATATCTTCAAGTGAAAGCTTTCAAATTTAAACTTCAGAGTGGAATTCCTTATTCTCTCTCTCTCATCTTCAGTTGTAAAGTAGATATGTCTACTTTCAATGAATTGATTTGAAAAACTTTTGCGTTTTTCAATTTCTCTCTACGATTTAAAAAGCACTTGATGTCGCCTCTTCAGAGATATTTTTTTTTTTTCGAAAAATGAAATTTTACGCTACCTAAAAAAAAATATTTGAAAAATATACATTCAACAACATGGATAATTTAGTTTACTTGTTAATTAATTTAATAGCTATTCAACTGGCAACTAATTACTTAACTAGTTAGTCTGGTCCTTATAACGGAATAGATTCAACCAGTTCGTGGTCGTTACTAATAAATTAGTTTGTAAACCCACTGGGGTATATCAACTATACACTACTTTATTATTCTCCATATATAATATTCACAAACTAATTTATCAATATTGTTACACGAGATTTTCATAAAAAAAAAATTTACTTTTTTCCTTTTATCGTTGGGAAAAAAAAAAAATGAAATTACTTTGAAAACGGGAAAAATTCGTATATAGAAAGTTTTCCAATCCTCTTCCCCCATATATATACTTCTTACGTGCTTGGAGTATTTTCTTTCGCATTGATCGAAAATTTATATATATATATATTGAGAGATAGCAGATGGAAAAATCAATAAATATACACTCAATTTTATGGGTCAGTTAAGAATTTTTCAGCTGATATATAAATTCACTGCGACGTTAATTCTTCATTGCCATAAAATTAGATGATTCGAGTTTCCGCGTTGTTTATAAAGGAAAAAGAATTTAAAAAAAAAAAAAATAATAGAGATAACGAAAAAAAACCTTGAGCGCGTTCATCGATGCGATAAAAATCTCCTGCTGCTTTTATTGGTTACTTGCTTTGATAATACGACTTATGATAAAATCGTTAACACACGGTGTTATCTGAATATAATTTTCATGTTTACTTTTAACGTCATTATATTATTTTCAAGATTTTCTCGATTTTTATACAAATACGAATAAAAAATATATTTATCAACCCTTTTTTTTCTTAATCGAACTGTCGTTGAGAGAGAGAGAGAGAGAAAAAAAAAAAGGGAATTTAAAAGAACGGCAAAAGGAGAACGATATATGTTTAGCAATTGGCAAACGACTGCAAAAGATAAGATGAGTGTATAGGAGCGAGCAGAGAGCATCTCTCTAGCAAAACACTTGGACCATGGCAAGTCGGAGATTCTTACTGGCAAAGCTCGGAAGAAAAAAAAAAGTAGAAGCGCTTGATCTTTGCCAGACTCGCGGTAAAATAGAAAAAGAAAAGAGAGAGGTAGAGAGAGAGAGAAAATCCCTTCATCTTCTTCGCTTTTGCAAACGAAAGATTCCCATTGCCCGAGACTGTCCATATAGTCATCTATCTGCGTACCTTCGACTCTGTTCCGTTCTTTTTATGCAACCTCCCGAGACGATCATGAAATTTCTCGAATTTCTTTCTTCTCCTTCTTCACACAAGTATACCAGGTTATATATTACCCTCTTTCTCAAACTTGGCATATACGATTCTTTCCTTTTTTTTCTGGTCGTGAAAACCATTTTTTCCCTCTGAATTTGTCCAAAAAAAGGTGGATTTCTGAATTATCGACAGTATATTTCGATTGTGGTTAATTATGAAAGTGATAATTGGACCAATTTGGTAGAATTCGGTTATTTTGGGTTTAAGCTGAGAGCCACGATTAGTTTTACCCTCGAATTTGCTAAAAATTGAGGTAGATTCCTAATTTACCGACAGTATATTTTAGTTTCCGTCGATTGTGGAAAATTAGAAACGTAATAATTGGACAAATTTGTCAGAATTCGGTTATTTCGGATCTAAGTCAAGTGCTACGATTTGTTTTCCCTTCGAATTCGCTAAAAATTGAGGTAGATTCCTAATTTACCGACAGTATATTTCAGTTTCCGTCGATTGTGGAAAATTAGAAACGTAATAATTGGACAAATTTGTCAGAATTCGGTTATTTCGTATCTAAGTCAAGTGCTACGATTTGTTTCCCCTTCGAATTCGCTAAAAATTAAGGTAGATTCCTGCTTTACCAACAGTATTGTTCAATTTTCATCGATTATGGACAATTATGAAAGTGATAGTTGGACTAATTCGGCAGAATTCGGTTATTTCGGGTCTAAGCTAAGTGCTACGATAAGTTTTCCCTTCGAATTCGCTCAAACATGAGGTAGATTCCTGATTTACCGACAATATTGTTCAGTTTCCGTCAATTTTGGAAAATTATTAAACCGACAATTGGTTAAATTTGGTATCATTCGTTTACTTCGAGTCTGAGCTAAGTGCCACTACTATTTTCCCCTCTCGAATCAGCTAAAAATTCGTGTAGATTTCTGAATTACCGACAGTTCATTCATCCGTCGTAAAAGTAGTGTTTTAATTACTTTTTTGTCTTGACTTTTACAAACAAAAAATTCAATTGAAGGAAGGAACTTGATTTTATGAATATAATTTATTTCCTTAGGCATAATAATAAGAAACAAGAAAACTAGAAGCTACAAGAGTACCTAAAGAATGCTTTATTGTCGATGTTGGTCAAGGTTACGGAAGAAGGGAAGACCATGACCTAATCGCCTCCTCCTCCTCTTTGCACGTCCTATTTGCTTTTTCTTTTTTGCCTCTCTCTGTCTTTCCTCCCATTGTTATGAAGCGAATCAGATATCAATATATATATACACACAGATATTAATACACTCTCGGTGAATTGAAAACTTAGTTTTTTCCAAACATTAATAATTTTAAATCCTGTATTACAATTTTATTTATTTCTATTTCAATCTTGAGAAAATCAAAAGTACTTTCTCGATGAATGTTTTTTTTTTTAGTAACTCAACTTGGCAAACGATCTTAAAATTGATGCCAACTATTGTTCTATAAGTATACACCAATGTGACAATTCAATTTGATGTTTATTCACTCAGTGCGGAAATAGAATTTGAAGATATTTTTAAAAATTTTTTGATGAATTTTGCTTTTAGGTGAATCCCGATGCTCAAGATCGAACGACACAACAGATCCAGTCGAAATTGGGTAACTATTCGGTGGTGAGGCACCTGCTCGAGGATCCAAAGAGGCTGATTGGAATCGATGGGGTGCCAGCGAGTCCAGCACCGGCTCATTCATCGAGGCTCGCCAGCAGCTCTGGTTCGAGTTCAAGAAGCTCGCCATCGTCACAGGAGTTTAAAAAACCTGGGGGGCCCAGGTCAAGTTCATCTTCGAATTCATCATCGTCATCATCATCATCATCGAGTCACGCCTCGGCGCAACGTGGTGGTTTCGTTAAACCTGCCGATGGGAAACCACCCTACGGTGGTCGTGGTGGTTATCCAGGACAACCAGTGAAGCATGGTGGCAATAGTAATGATCATCGTAGTCATGGTTTACTTCCGGCAAAGGGTCCTCCACCTCCTTCAAACTCATCAGGAAGCGGTAATTCAAACGTTGGCAGTAGTATTGCCAATAGCAATAACAACAGCAGCAGTAATAGTAGCAACAGCAGCAGCAGCAGTAGCAACAGTAATCGACTTCATAACGCCGGTAGCCGTCTGCCGAGAATTAACCTCGATAATGTGAGTAAAATTTTTATTTTCAATTATTATTTATATAAAAATGTTGTTTCTGGGTTCAATCAGTATTTCTAAATTCTTTATTTTTATTCCGGCTTTAACTACTTTCATTTGACTCGATCGCATCAGGTGGACAATTTTGAGACGCTGAAATAAGCTCTAAAATTAATTAGAATTTTTTTTTTGTAGAATTTTATAACCTAAAATTTACTTTTAGCCGAATTTGCTTTGATTGAGACTGAAAATTACCGAATAAACAAGTGAAAGATTTCGGCGCGAATTGTAGAATCTGAAGCGAACTGTAGGACGTAAAATTTACTTTTAGCCGAATTTTCATTGATAGAAACTAAAAATAACCGAACAAGCAAGCGAAAGTTTTCAGCGCAAATTTTATAGCCTCAAAATTTACTTTTAGCCGAATTTTCAGTTGGCAGAATATTTAAAACGCCGAATTTGTTTTCATCGTAACTGAAAGTGACCGAACAAACAAGTGAAACATTTCGGCGCGAACCGTATAAACTAAAATTTTCTTTTAGCCGAATTTTCATTTAACAGAATTATTAAAACGCCGAATTTCCTTTGATCGGAACTTAAAATGACCGAACAAGCAAGCGAAAGATTTCGGCGCAAATTTTATAGCCTAAAATTTACTTTTAGCCGAATTTTCAGTTGGCAGAATATTTAAAACGCCGAATTTGCTTTCCTCGTAACTAAAAATGACCGAACAAACAAACAAAAGATTTTGGCACGAATTGTAGAGCGTAAAATTTACTTTTAGCCGAATTTTCATTTGGTAGAATTCTTAAAACGTCGAATTAGCTTTCACTAAGACTGAAAATAACCGAACAAACAAGTGAAACATTTCGGCGCGAACCGTATAAACTAAAATTTTGTTTTAGCCGAATTTTTAGTTGGCAGAATTATTAAAACGCCGAATTTCCTTTGACCGGAACTTAAAATGACCGAACAAATAAGCGAAAGATTTCAGCGCAAATTTTAGAGCCTAAAATTTAATTTTAGCCGAATTTTCAGTTGGCAGAATATTTAAAACGCCGAATTTGCATTCGTCGTAACTGAAAATGACCGAACAAACTAGCGAAAGATTTTGGCACGAATTTTAGAACGTAAAATTTACTTTTAGCCGAATTTTCATTTGGTAGAATTCTTAAAACGCCGAATTAGCTTTCATCAAGACTGAAATAACCGAACAAACAAGTGAAACATTTCGGTGCGAACCGTATAAACTAAAATTTTCTTTTAGCCGAATTTTCATTTAACAGAATTATTAAAACGCCGAATTTTCTTTGACCGGAACTTAAAATGACCGAATAAATAAGCGAAAGATTTCGGCGCAAATTGTGTAACCCAAAATTTACTTTTATTTATTTATTGTATAACCTAGAATTTACTTTTAGCCGATTTTACATTGACCGAAACTGAAAATGACCGAACAAACAAGCGCAAGTTTTTGGCGCGAATTTCAAAAACCAATCAGTATTTTATTGATAATTTGTGATTGGTTAATTTCGAAAATTCGCGCCAAAATCATTCTGTCGATTATTTTTCGGTCATTTCCAATTTCGGGCAAATGGAAATTCGGCGTTTTAGTTAAATTCGGAATTTAAATTCGATCAAATCAAAATTCGGCTAGAAAATAATGTTTTCTAGAAGTTTTTCTCTAATGCAAAAGTTAAAAAATTTTTTTTTTATTCTTTTTATTCATTACTAATAAAAAATAAATAAAATTTTTTTTATTCTTTTTATTTATTACTAATAAAAAATAAATAAAAATTCTTTTAAACGACTATTCTGTCATTCGAGAAAATAATAATTTTGTCAAATTTTAAAATCGATGTAATAAAAATTCGATTAAATGAAATTTCTATTAAATAATAATTTAGAGAATTCAAAAAATTCGAATAAAAATAAATTTTTGGTTATAATAAGAAATGAAAATTGAAATTCAATTAATTTTTGGAGCCTATTTAATTTTTTTAATAATTAAAAAAAAATTTTAATTAACGGATTGTTTTTTAACTTGTTAATAAATGATGTATATAAATACACGAGAGATGGGTTGAAGTATAATAATCAAGGGGCTTATAATTGTATGATGGTGACAACTGTTTACGGAGAATGGATAACATTGTGTCATCGTTTACAGAGAAGATATATGTGCCTGTGGTATTCGACCCCTTTGTGGTCGTTGTCAGCTAGTGCGAATTTCTTGAAAATGTAGAGCAAAGGTGTCACAGAGAGATTCAAATCTAATAGGAATTAATTTCAAAATTGTTTCGAAATATTTTGATGGAAATTTAATTAAAATTCTCCATTTTTTTTTCATTTTACTACAACAACAAAGCATTTTTTTAGAAAATTAATTTTCTCACATTCTAATAAATTTACAATTTATTAAATAATTATTGGCTAAAAAAACTTTTTCTTTTTTAATTTATAAAAATTTAAAATATTTTGTTGTAATATTAATTTTTGCTTGCATTACTGGATAAAATTTTTCAAAACATATATATTATGCCCTATTTAAAATATGCAATCTCTCGTTCTGATTCTCATCCGCTTTTATATATATACATATGTATATATATGTGATGGGAAATGACGTTAATTTTTCACCTGATGTATTTTGCAATTATTTTCATTTCCATTACATAAATTGAATGTTTATTCATAAATATCGTGTATGTCATTTATTTGATAATAATTGGACAGAAATTATTCATTATTTTTCTTTATTTTAATTTTTGTATTAATTCGATTACTGAATCAAAAATTTAGTAATTTATTTAACTGACTTGTTTAATTATTCGATTTTTAATGAATCATTAATTAAAAATTTCATTAATTAAATTAATTGATAATTATTCAATGACAATATTTTATAGTAACTTTTGCAAAAATTTGGCAATCTTTTTTTTTAATTTCTTTATTTTATTTTATATTTTTTTTCATAATAAATAATCTTTTTTTTTACTAGGTCTTTTATTTTCTTTTGTTATTATAGTAGAAAATAATTCTTTTTTTTTTTATTAGTTTTTTGTCTTTTTAATTATTTTTTTTTGTTATTATTTTTCCGTTTATTAATTTATTATTTATTATACATTGTTTCTTTATTGTAATTAAAGTTATACGTTCGTTTGCTGTTGAAAATAGCTTCTTTAATTGTCATTATTATTAATGTTGGCCTCTTTGATTGTAATCCATTGTTCGTAATTATTATAATTGAAGTTATTTTTTTTTTAGTTATTCTAATTGGCTTTATCTTCTTTTCTAATCAATATTTATTATATATTATATTACATCAAAAAAATATCAAATCATTATATTTTATAATTTTTTATTATTTTAATATTGATTTTATTGCATTGCAAAATTAGTTTCTTTAGTTGTCAATATTTCAATTATTATATTTTTAAATATAATTTTTCAATTATTGTTTTTTTAAATATAATTTTTCAATTATTAAAATGTTTTACGGGATATTTAATATATAAAAACGAGTTTTAAAAATAAAAAACCTTTTCTAGTTTCATTCATACTTTTTATATTTAACTTAGGAAAAGGGTTCAACTCATTTTGTGCCTTGAAAGGTACTTCAGCTTTATATATATGAAAATTGATTCTAACTGAAGTGCGCGCTGTTCATTTCCCTCTGGCGAAATTTTTTCCCTCTGATAAAAATAGACTTGATATATATAAAAAGAGAAGAGATAAAAATGAGTGTGAGATAAAGAGTCCTATCGCGATTAATCAGAACAGAATATATCCTAGTTATTTTATTCGTGTCTCTGTTCTTTTTTTCTCTATATTTTATAAAGTATCCACTGGCTCTGATTGCTACCTGTTTCTTTTCTATATAGATTTTTTTTTAATTTTTTTTTAATACTTTATCCTTGTCTTTCTTTCTTGATAAATGCTATGTAGTTGTGGTTTCATAGATAAAAGCCGATGAGAAGAGATTGAGTGTATCCCAAGTAGTTATCGAAGATTGAAATAAGAGTTTGGTTTTTGTTTTTTCCTCTTTCTCTCATTTTTTTTTTTTTTTATTCTTCTTTATAGCAAACTGTCAATTAAACTTGATTTCATGTTTCTTTTCCTATTGAATAATACTCGTGTGTGTACTATGCAAAATTGTGGTTTCATTCTCAATTATTACCGGTTATGCATATATGTTGTTAATCTTTTAATACTTGATTCGAAACAACTAATTTTGTATAATATATATTACACAGGGGCGTTTTATAATTATTCTGTAATAAGCTAATTGAGAGAAATTTATTAATTTACATTAAAATTCTATGGGAAAATAAAAATTTTTCCTAATTTAATATTTAAGAAAATCTTTATTTTAGTTCACAATTTATAATTTTATTTATTGTATTTTTTTTTATTTTCTTTATTTAAATTAAATATTAAAAATAATTATTTCTAAAAATAATTATTTTTAATATTTAATTTAAATGAAGAAAATAAAATGAAGAGAAAAACAATTTTTTTTACAGATGATATGGGAAACAAATATTCTGTTGCAATGATTATCTAATAGAAATAGGAAAATAAAGAAATATTAAGCTATGATATTAAGGTGTACTGCATAATCAGATCTATTTATTAATTAAAGTACGGAGAATTTAATAAGCTAAATCATTAGGGATTAAAAATTTATATAACTTGTTTATGTTTATATAATTAATTTTTCAACGAGAAAATGATAACAAACGTATATATATATATATATAAGTGAAAGTTATATGGAAATTAAATTTTTTTTTTGTTATCAAAATTTTATTTAGTAAAAAAAAATTGTAATTATTTTTGTTTTTCTTTTTTGCAGGGCATCAATTCGAGGCAGACTCTCGAGGAAAATACACCAGATGTTGAGGACATTTTAAAGGTGAGAGAAAAAAAAAAAAAAAAAAGAGACTTTTACCTGAATTTTGCGAGTTGTTAGATTAAGCTCAACTTTTAGGGTGTAATCTCTAAGCAAGTCAGTTTACAAGCGATTGTAAACTTTCCTGACACTCTGAAAACTCGAATTCAGAATATATTTCCCTCTTGTGTTTTCTCTTTGGGATTACTTGCCACTTATTTAGATTCTTTTTTTTTTTTCCTTTTTCTCTCTCTCTTGGAAACATAACCCTTTTTTTTATTCAACAAATTCGGAATATTGACTACCTTTTTTGTTACCGTTTTTTTTTTAAATTTGATTTTTTAATTTTTTAAATAGTTTTTCTAATTTGGAAATTTTCTGTCTATATAAAAAACAAAAAATTAGGAAAATAGAAAAATCGGTAGGAAAAAAGAACATTACAAATTGTATAAAAAATAAAAATTAGGAAAATAGAAAAATCGGTATGAAAAAAAAAATTACAAATTTTTTTTGTTCGCTTTTATATATTTTTTTACTTTCTTTTACTATTATTGAACATCGAATTGATTAATTAATAAAAATTAATTGATAAAATTAGTTAGTTAAATTAATTGATAAAATTAATTAGTTAAATTAATTGATAAAATTAATTAATATCATTTAATTAATATTAATTTAATATTATTATCCCGTAGAAAAATTGTGTACGGAACGTAAAACAAAATAGCTTTTTAATTCCCGGAAATATATTTTTTTTTTTTTTTGAGAATATATCGTGTAATTAATTAAAATAACCCTTTGATGCCAATATATTTAAATCACGCAAAAAAAAAAAAATCTAGAAAAAATATTCCTTATTTATTTTTGAGGATGAAGCTTATAAATATAATAAAGGGACTTGTGTCTTTATAAAAAAAGATTCCCCATGAAATTTGAGACAAAATTTTTTGAGGCCAGCGCTCTTTAGAGACTTGACAAAATTCTAATTCCCAATGGAGCTATATCGATCGGGAAGCAATTTAAACACACAACGATGAGTCATCATTGTAGCATCGCGTCTCCCCTTCGATTTTGTCGTTCGTGATTCATCTTTTGCCAGAGATTTTCTCTCTCTCTCTCTCTCTCTCTCTCTCTCTCTCTCTCGTTTTTTTTCGTCTGGTCCATTCGAGAGGAGAAAAATTCAACCCGCAGAAGCGTAATCTCTTGATTGACCTAAACCTAAAGGCGAAATATATATATCTATATATAGGAGGATTGTCGCCTACTATCTTCACCCTTAAAAAATATATAACGAAAATATCAAATTTCCATTGTGCTTGTAAATAGGGTTGTGAAACGAGAACCGCGTGTGTCTATAAATGATTATTGGATGCTTTTAGGATTCATGGGAGAAATTGAGGATCTCTATTAAAAATAGGAATTGATTTTTTATTTATTTATTTATTTTTGTTTTAAATTCAATTATAACAGAAGAAAAATTCCAGTTTATTTTTTTATATAAAATTTTTATTTGGTAAAAAAAATTCTTTATCATCACAGAAAATTATAAGGTATTAAAATAAGATGCAACGCTTATTATTTTAATCCAATTTTGCTTATTTTAATACCAAAATAGATTAAAATAATAAGCGTTACAGCTTATTTAATTGCCTTTTAATTTTCTGTGATGTTTCACTAGAATAGCGAAAACTTTCGCTGTTTTAGTGAAATACCTGTTCTTATATGTTCCAGGTGAAAAAATTTTTCCGTGTATAATTTTTATTTAAAAATCAAAGAAAAGGAATTTTTTTTTTCTAGTTTCGTGCTTTCAAGATTGTGTTTTTTTTCTGATTTATTTTAACCCCATTAGAAAAGAATAAATATATTCACTATTATTTGACATTGCGATAAGTGTATTAATTTGCAAAATATATTTGTTTGCATATATAGGTATAAAGAATTATTTTCTGACTCGTGTATAATAAATTGCTCGCACGCAAAGGATATATATTTCACTTTTTTCTTGAATAAATTATAGTTGAATTTTTATTTTATATGCAATTTAACATTCAATTTAATAGAGAAATTAATTTATCGCTATTTAATAGAAATAAAATATATCGTAATTATGAAATCAATTAGTTGAGATGAATTTATTAAGGAGAAAATTAAACTTGTTTTGATTCAATATTTTTTTACTCTTTTTATTTTTCGAAACATTTTCTTTTTTTTAAGTAGCCGAAAGTTTTTTCAACGAAATATTTTTTTCAATCTATAAATTATTAAAAATTATGATGACTATATGTAGAATAAAACAGTAAATTAATTATTAAATTAAATAACTTCTTTTTAGATATATTTTGAACAATATTTTGTAATAAAATTCGTACTTAAAGAAGTTGCAAAAAAAAAAAATTTCGTTCATATGAACGTTCAAAACTTTTGGCTCATTTTTTTTTTTTTTTTTTTACAAAATATATGTATTCTTTTTCACTATAATTTTTCTTTTAACCCTTTGAAGCAAACATTTTTCTTTAACAGGAATTTATCTTTGAAGTGCATTATAGGGGGTTTTAAGGGTTGCTGATTACGAATCCGAAGCCAGATTTAAAAAATTTTCAAAATTCAAAATGGCGGATCCAATATGGCGGACAATTTTTTTTTTTTAAATTGATCATATCCGCTCGAAACTGGTTACTCAGGGGTTTTCGGGGTCGCTGATTACGAATCTGGCATCATATTTTCAAAATTTAAAATGGCGGACCCAATATGGCGGACAACTTTTTACAAATTGTTCAAATTTGCTCGAAACTGGTTACTCGGGGGTTTTCGGGGTCGCTGATTACGAATCCGATGTCAGTTTTTCAAAATTCAAAATGGCGGATCCAATATAGCGGACAATTTTGTTAAAATTGATCACACACAAAAGCGCCATTTTGAATTATAAAAATCCAAAGTCATATTCATAAACAGCGACATCAAAAACATCGTAGTAACAAGTTTCAAGCAAATCCGATCAATTTTTTCATTTTGTCTTCCGCCATTTTGAATTTTGAAAGTCCAACGTCATATTCGTAATTAGCGACCTCAAAAACCCCCGAATAACATAAGTTTTAAGCAAATCCGATCAATTTTTCATTTTGTCATCCGCCATATTGGATCCGCCATCTTGAATTTTGAAAATCTGATGCCAGATTCGTAATCAGCGACCCCGAAAACTTTATAGACATTATTTTTAGGTTTTTTCGCTATTGTTGTTTAGTCACAATTACATTTATTGTAAAAAAAACGCTATTTTTAAACTTAATTTGTTTATAAGATTTATTTTATTTATAAAAAACAATTTTTTTAAATGTAGTTATATTGTAATAGATATTCTAAAATAAATTTTAAATACATTTTGTTACTGAAAAATGTGTAAAATAGTGGCTGAAGTATATTAAAAAAAGTGCCAAGAAAAAAGGTGACACTCAGGAGTGTTACTATACCGCAAAGGGTTAATATAAAAAATAACTGCAGAGAGTTAATTTTCGAAGTTGATAAAAAATTTTATGAAATAAAAATTCGTAGGAAATTCTATTGAAAAAAATAAAAATTCTATAAAAAATTAATTTTATCGATGCGATTGGAAAAATAGGTTGATATGTAGGAAGTCTTTTTTTTGAATGGTTCACGAATCATTTCCTAGGAGAAGAAGGGTTTCGATTTACAGGAGAATTTACGACTTGACTACTGTATATCGTCTTTCTGACTATTCGAAGTTCGTAAATGTATATATATATATATATATATTCCATAGACACACCGGTATGAACCGATGAATTATTCTCACGGCTGGCCCGTGGGAAAATACGGGTTGCGCCAGTAGGCATCGTAAATGCAACTGCTAATTGCACTCAACGATGGCAAAAGACGCGAGTTTCAACTACTTGAATATATATATATCACATTCTTTGACGAACTCAGATTCATTGAGATGATCATCATCCATCCTTTTGTTTTCCTTCCTCTACTCGCTTCCTTTCTTTCAATTTTTCCAACATTGTCTATATATGAAAAAATCAAATCTTTTTCTCCCCCACTTGTTACCAATTTTTTTTCTGTTTCTTAATTTTTTTTACTTTATTTTCACAATTTTTTCTTGCTTTTGAAAAAATGATACAGTTTTATTATTAAAATTTAAAAAAAAATTACCTGGAACAGGGAAACGTTTCACTATGCGGTAGCACACCCAGAAAAATGATTTATTTGAATCAAATAAAATATATTTGAATTAAATAAACAAATGTTTGTCTCAGAGCCTATACTAACTTATTTATTTGGCGTAAATAGAAATTTTATTTGTCATAAATAAATTCTTCTTTGGCTTAAATAAATTTTTTATTTAAATGAAATAAAATATATTTGCAACAAATAAATGAGTTAGTAGGCTCGGAGACAAATATACAATTTCTTTGAGTGCAAAAGTTACACTTGTTTCAGTTAAATATTTCGCTATTCTAGGGAAACCATTTGCTGTTTTGGGTAAATATTTTTTTTACGGGTGGTATATAGAAAAAAAAGATCACTATATTTTTTTTCGGCTGAAAAAAAATTGATCAAGAATAATGTTGTTTTCGAATGAGTCACTTGTTTCACTTACTAAAAGTGTTGTGCGCGAGTTTAAAAAAAAAAAAAATAGCCAATCCGTCAGTAAATAGTCACCTATAGAATCTGGGCCAACTATTCGTGTTACTACACTATATAACATCCAAGTTGTGTGTTCGATGAGATACGCAACAACGCGATCATTATACGACGTTCTATAATGGAGTAATAATTTCTATTTCTTTTTTCTCACTTTTCAATCGATTTTCATTTTTTTTTTCATTTTAATTTTTAATTTTTATTTTTTACATATTTTTTTATTTCATTTTCATTTTCATTTTTTTTTATTTAATTTTTACTTTCGACGGAAAAAAAATTATATTCCAAATTTTTGGAATGTAAAATTAATTTTATTTAAAATAAAAATGGTTTTTTGAGATTACATCTCACATATGTGA